CGGGCCGCGTCACCTCGCGTCACCCCGCCCCGCCTCCTTCCCAGAGCCCCGCGCGCAGGCGCTCGCCGCTCTTCTGGTCCGCCCTTTTTCGAGATTTGAATTTTCCCCAGCGGGGGAGCGGCGCGGTACCCGGATGGGGATCGCAGGCCGTTTCGCGCCAATACACTGAGTTCCCCCAACGGCCCGCGAGGTGGGTACCGCATCGCGCCCTAGTTTCGAACCTCGCACGAGGCCCCTGGGCGTTACGCCGCCCCCGCAGGGCCTGGGGGCCCCTGCGCAGCGCCGCGAGCCCGTGAGCGCAGAGGACCCCCACCGGCGTGGTCCCGCGCGGGTCGGGCTCCCGCCGCTGCCGGCAGCGGCCCTGCAATTCAGTAAAGCGGAGGGGAGGTCGCGGCAGCCAGGGGAGCCGCCCGAGGCCCGCTGCCCACACACCCGCAGGGCGTCGATCAGCTCGGAAGAAAGAAGCACATGGCCGCACCACACACACCCAGGCCCGCCCGCCGCCGCCGCCGCGGCCCGGAGCCCCCTGACACAGCGGACGGCGCCTGTGCCCCGGGAGCCGGCCGCCAGCTGCCCCCAGTGATCAGCGCATTCCCCTCACCTCCCTGGCCAGAGCCAGTCTGCCCCGAAGGAGCGGCCGAGCTTAAAGGCTTCCGGGACCCTGGTCCGCACCCATGGGCCGGTAGTGCCCCTGGGCACCGACGGGGGCCATGCTGTGCTCCCCACTGGGGGTGCCCTACTCACAGCCCTGGTGCTGATCCCTCCCTGCACTGCAGAGGGTCGCAAGGCTGGTCAGGACTCAGCCGCTCAGACACACTAGAGGCCTTGGAAGCTGCCACCTTGACCTGCACCGCTCACCTCGAGCCTGCAGGGCTAGGACCAGGCCTTCCCGCCAGGCCTGGCGTCCTTTGTAGGATTTGCCCAACAGGCCCAGAACCTCAGGCCCATGCTGTCACGCTCTTGGCCTTCATGAGGAAAGCTGTGAGACCTTTGTCTAGTAACAAGGGTCACAGCAGTGGGGTCCTGGAGGAGTGAGGCCACAAGGTACCCACCTTGGGCCTCCTGGTGCCTTGGCAGGCTGGCATGATGACATGACCCTTTAAGTGGGCGCCTGGGCTCAGGCGGGTGCGGCCAGGCAGCCAGAAGGTGTTGGCTTCCCAGTCTCCCTGGGCTGCCTGGCCAAGCTACAGCATCTGGCGGCCACCCCCCGACCCCCGCCAGCCTTGTTGCTGAACCCTGAAGGCCCAGCGCTGGGTACTAGGGAGGCGGGCCCCAAGTGGATGCACAGAAGGAAAGAGTGGGGAGCAGACTGGGGAAAGGCCCAAGAGGAAACGGCAGCCGTGCTGAGAGCATGAGGAGGCCAGGACAGCAGGGCCGCTGTGGAGGTGTTGGAGGGCCCAGGGCCTGACTGGCCCGTGAAGCCAGTCTGGCTTCATGGGGTGGTGCTCAAGGCCTGGCCAGAGGTTGAGATGTGACTGAGTGGGAAGCCAGCCGCAGAGGGATGCAGGCAGGCCAGCACTGTCCGGTGCAGGGGGTTGAGGCAAGTGGTGGCTACCTGTCGAGGTGGAAGTCTGGGGTCAGGGGCTGCCCCTCCCCCAAGACGAGTCGGGCTCTGCGGCCTAGTGGGACCATCTTAGAGGAGCTCGACAGCAGAGCTAGAGGGCCTCGACAACAGGCCTCAAGGCAGGCCAGGAGCAGAGGGAGGCCGGCAGCCCCTGTGCTGGAGGGGGTGGACCTGCGTTCCCGGACCTGCTTCCAAACCCAGGCCCAGAGCGCTCAAGGCCCAAGGCCGCGCAGCCAGTCCGGGGAGTTGGCATTTCAGTGTCCCAGCTTCCCGCCTGTCCTTGGCCTTTGCGTCACTCAGAGCGTTGAACTCCTTCTCATGAACATTAACGCGTTTCGTGGCTCTTAGGCCAACTGCACTGCGCAGGCCCTGAGTCAAGGACAGGCCGTGTCCAGTCCCTATTGGTTTAAAGCCGCCTGTTCATGCCTGCAGGAGCAGCCGAGGGGAGGAGGGCAGCGGGCCGAGGGCCGCTCCACAGCCCCAGCCTCAAGCTGGGAGGGAGACGCTCGCGTCCTTCCCCTCTTCTGCCCGAGTCCAGCTGTCCCTCGTCTTGGGCTCCAGCAGTTGTGCGCATCTGAGGGTCCGCATGTCCACCGTATTCGGTTCAAAGGGTGCGGGCAGGCCTGCGAACTCTGCTTGTCACAGCGCAGAGGCGGGAGCATCCAGAGGCTCTGCCTGTGGCACACCGAGAGGCTGGCCTGTCAAGGCAGCCTGAGGGGAGCTGGGTGTCGGCGCAGACAGGCAGGAGGCTGGTGAGGAGGTGTGGGGGCCGCAGGTGAGGAGAGGCCACACAGCCACTCACGAGCCGGGTGCATTTGCTTTTATTTCTGCTATGTGTGCTGAAAACCGCCGGTGGGTCCCGAGCGCGCTGAGTGGGGAGATGGAGGCTCGCTGGGGGCTGGCGTTGTGGCTGACCGTGCTCTCTCTGACCACAAAGGGAAACGGCCGGTTCCTGCCCCGTGCCTGCCAGCCGCCCACCTCAGCTGCTGGCCCAGCTGCGCCAACACTGCCCGAGCGCCTCGCCGGAGCTCCGGCCTCGCTGCCGCTGCCGCCGCCGCCCTCCAAGCCACGCCCGAGATGCAGCCCGAGTCGGCGCAGGCCCTCCTGCACGTGGCCGTGACCACCTGCCTCTGCGCGGCCGCTACCCACACAGGCGCCTTCGCGGGGGCCTTCGTGCAGGTGGGCTACGAGCATTACGCCGAGGCCCCAGTGGCCGGCCTCCCCGGCTGCCTGGCCATGCCCTTCAACTCGCTCGTTAACCTGGCCTATGTGCTCCTGGGCCTGCACTGGCTCCGGAGGCGTGCCGGCGGCCCGAGGCTGCGCTACCTGAAGGACGCCTTCGCCAGCATGGCCCTGCTCTATGGCCCGGTGCAGTGGCTGCGCATCAGCACGCAGGCGCGCCCCGCTGCCCTCCTGGACCAGTGGGTCACCTTGCCCATCTTCGCATGGCCGGTCGTCTGGGGCCTCTACCTGGACTGGGGCTGGAGGCCCCGCTTGTTCCTCGCCGTCGAGGGCCTCGCCCTGAGCAGCTACGGCCTGGCCCTGCTGCACCCCTGTGGGTTCGAGGTGGCGCTGGGCGCACACATCGCCGCCGCCCTGGGCCAGGCCCTTCGTGCCCACAGGCGCCATGGCAGCGCCTCCTCGGGCACCTACCTGGCTCTGGCCATGCTCTGCTGCCTGGGCTTCGTGGGCCTCAAGCTGTACGACCACGAGCTTGCTCAGTGGTATCTCTTCCGGAGGCTCACGGGCCACTTCTGGTCCAAAGTCTGTGACGTGCTCCAGTTCCACTTTGCATTCTTGTTTCTGATGAGTCTAAACCCGCCCCCGAACCCCTCTCCTGCGGGAAAGGTGCAGTAGAGGGCGTGGCAGCAGCGGCGGGAGCCGGCCCCCACCGTGGCCCAGGGCTGGGGCACACGCTCTTCCGTCCGACCTTGCGGGCTCCGTAGCCCACTCAGAGCCCGGGTTGAGCGGCGGGGCACGGGGCTTTCTGTAATTTGACATTTCTCAAAGTGCCGGACGCGACCTCAGAAGGCACTGCCGTCACTGTGGACACAGTGGCTCGCAGCAGCAGCCCGAGGAAGCTGGTGTGGCGGCCGTGGCTGGGGCGGCGGCATTGCCGCGGGGCCAAGGTGCAGGGGGATAGTCACCACGTGGGTGCCTTGTGCAGGGGACAGATATCAGCTGGCTGCCATGTCCTCAGGGGCAGGGGCTCAGATGCCATGTGTCTGTCGCCTGGGTCCTTAGGAGCCATGGCCCTGCCGTTGTCACACACACGGCAGGGTTTAACCAGCGGGGTGACGCCAGGCCTGAGGAAACGGGTCACCCCTTCAGGGTGCTCTTACCACCTGGCGCCTGAGAGGCTTCTGGCCTTTAAAAACAAATGTGACGGCCCTCCCTGGGGGCACCGCGGGTCACAGCACAGCACTGAGAAGCGAAAGCCGCTTCCGCATGAGTTCGATCCCCGCCTGCCCCGGAGGTGACCCCATGGCGCGGCAGACCTCTCCTGACCGCCCGCTGCTCCCCTCGGCAGTGGACTTCGTCGATCTGCCTGTTCTGCTCCCCGCTCTGTCTGGTGAAGCCTCTCACCACCCCTGAGCCTCTGGCCTGTACCCCACTTCTGTATGCACAAATAAATCTTTAAAAACAAACGTGAGGGCACGGAGGGAGGCCCACTGGCGTGTCAGGACCGGCCCCTGTCTGGCTCAGAGGCCCCTCTCGGACTCCCCTGGGTGGGCTCGCCAGCCACTGCTGTGACTGCCACGAGACTACTGAGACTGGATTCCCGTGCCGGCTGCTGTGCTCCGCTGGGCACATGTCAAGTGGGGGTGGGTCCTGGACACACCGAGGGAGCCCTCCGCCAGCAGGGCGCCTGCCCTCCCCCAAGACCTGGCATACACAGGGCAGCTAGAACCCCGCGTTCCCTGTGCTTATCTCTGGCCCTGATGTGCCAGAGACAGAACAAAGCTGTCGTGTCTTCAAAGAGGACACTGCAGGGGGTCAGGGCTTGATGAGAGATGGAGGGAGCACAGGGGCCTGCAGGACAGGCTGTCCATCTGGTACGTGACTGACCCGCTGGGTCTCGCCGGCTCTCTGTCAGGGACAGGAGGCCTTGTTCTCTGATCTCTGATGACTCTGACAACTCCCTGCTTCGCATGCTGCTCCCAAGTCAGCCCGGCATCGGTGCCCATGGGAAGTGGGTCGGGGCGCACTGCACGCACACAGGGGAGGGACCATGGGCGTTTGCCACCCCAGGGCCTGGGCAGGCCCTGAGCCAAGAGGACTCCACCCAAAGGACTGGCTGGTGTGGACGGGACACCCTGGGCTGGGCAGCGACCCCCAAGACTCAACCCCACTGTCAGCTCCCACCCCGCCCCGTGCAGATGACACGCAGGACGCCGGGCTCGCACCAGGGTTCCCTCTGTTGGAGATTCGGCCTGCCTGTGCGCCCTGTCCTCATTTGCGCAGTCAGGTAGGCCTACATTGAGCAGACTCGTCCAAAAGCAGATGCCTGGAGCCTTCTCCCCACGGTTCTCAGAGGGCTGCCCTGACCCCGTCGCACTCTGCCCCCCTCGCCCGCCAACGTGGGTCCCTTACTGCTCTCCCGCAGCTGCATCTTACCCGGAGAGCCCAGAAGCCACCGGGCACCCGTGGGCCTGCCCGTGTGACCTTGTGCTTTACGGCTCCCAGAGCCGGGCGGGGCGTGGGCACCGTCTGCTGTCATGGTGCACAAACAGGCCCTAGCAGTCGGACTGGCCGAAGGCTGTGGCGCTGAGCGTCACGCCCTGTGTCACCTGGAAGCGGCTGCAGGCCTTGTCCTGTCGTCGCCGCAGTGGCTCGCAGTTTGCCACAGTGAAAGTGGTGTCAGTCTTGCTCACATGGCAGTGGCCCTGAGAGGACGTGAGGATCCAGCCTGGCGCACGCGCAGGGCCCGTCCGACCCCTCAGCGGCAGGGCCTGGTGCGCTCCGTCGTGCGGTGAGGTGGGCGCACGCTCAGCTGCAAGCTGGCACGCGTGGGAGTTGGTTTTCTTCTGTCACTTACTTGTTTTCCTGCCCCCCTCACATTTGAACTGTCTCCTCTCGATCTCCAGGCATGGTGTCTGCGGTGTGGTCACTCCCTGCTGTCACCGCGGCCGTCAGTGTCCCCTAACCTGCTCTCTACTTTGGGCAGGGGCCGTGGTGGCACCAGGACATGGCCACGTCTGTGCCTCTCTTCAAGCCTCGTTTGCGGCAGTCTTTGGGGCGCCTCAGGTAGCGGTGTGGAACCCGAGCATCCCAGCCACTGCGGGTCGTTTTCCTCGGCCATTGACTGTGAAGCAGTCACCAAAGACGCAAAGCTGGCCCCTCGCAGCGGGCGGCCATCGTGCTCCTCGTCCCTGTGCTGGGCGCGCTGGGCCCGGAGCTGCTTCTCGGGCGGCGGGCGCTTGAAGCCTGCCCCGCTCCCCCGCCGAAGGTGCTGTGAGCAGCAGCTTGGGGTGCCCTCGCGGCCCACCACCGCGACAGGGTTTCTCAAGGGCCCTCAACGCGGTGCCTCTCTGCCCCGATGGGGAGCCAGCTGGCTAGCCTCTGGGCCAGCTCGGGCGCGGAGGGCGCCCCTGAGTGGCGCAGGTTCGGCGGTTCCTCGTAACGCTTTTCGTGTTTTTCTGCTCTTTCCTTCTGCGCGACCGCTGTTCCCTTTGATCTTTGCCCTCTGTCTGTCTTCAGAACTGCTGACTTCTGCCTCTCCTCTCCTGCCTCACCTGCCTGCCCTGGGGCCTCTGCCAGGCTGGGCACCACTGCCATCTCGGCAGATCATGTGTCTCCCTTTGAAAGAAAAGACGCGTAACAGATCCGTGGGGGTGGCTGCCCGAAGGATTTGGGTGGCCCCTTCCCATGCGGTGTATGTGCCTGGCACCAGGTCCTCCACCAGGGCTGCCGGGGCCCAGTGCCAGGGGTCTTCCCCCTTCGCCGCCCACTTAGCCCTTTGTGCCCGCAGCCCTTTGCCAGGGCAGCTGCGGGTGCGCGACAGCTGCCTTGCACGCGACTGGCATAGAAGTCCCAAGTGGGGGTGAAGCTTCTGCCCTCCAGACCTCCTGCCACACTGCGGCTCCACCAGCAGTTGGCACCCTGAGAAGGCTTGCTCTCTGCCACCCCAGCGCAGGCAAGCAAGGATTTCATAGCCTTCCCGTTCGCCCTTTCCAGCTAAAAACCAAGGTTGCCTGAAAAAAAAAATAACAATGACCTGTGACCCAGCGGGCCCGCCTCTGGGTACGCGCCCCACGGGCCGAGAGCAGGGCCCGGACAGGCGCACCCCACACGCTGCTGGCGGCGGCAGGAGGTGGGGC